TGTGCACTACAGTCAGTTGCCACTTGGCTGCCCTAAAGGGTGGTATAACTGACCAGAAGACACTTTGCAGGTGAAGAGTGCAACTTCTTAGACAGAAACATCTCCCTGGGTTTCAGAGTCAGCAACACTCCCAGTTAGAGGGGCAAGCTCCCCTGCCCACCTCCCACTGATACCCCAGACAAAGGTGAAGTTCCTATTCAATGTACTTGAGAGGCTTTCTTTTCCTTTCTCGAGAAAGGTTTGTGAACTGTGCAGCTGCATTTCCCTCACAAATGCTCAGGAGACTCACTGTGTGTGTGAGCTAAATCGCTTCAGTCGTGTCCAACGCTGTGTGGTCGTATGGACTGTAGCTCCCCAGGCTCCTCTGTCCATGGGATTCTCCAGGCAAGAATACTGGAGTGGGTGGTCATTCCCTTCGCCAGGGGATATTCCCAACCCAGGGATCAAACCTGCATCTCTTACATCTCCTGCATTGGCAGGTGGGTTCTTTACCACTAGCACCACCTGGGAAACCCCAGGAGACTCACTAGACTTACTAGACACAAGTAACTGGTAAGAGCTCACTCCCATTGCTCAGCATAGCCACTGAGAATCACTTTTTCCCCTGATCACCCCCAGACATACCATTCCATCAGGCCTAAACTTTAAAACTGCTTGAACTCTATTCCTGCAGCTTCTGTAAGTGGAATATCGATCTTTTATATGGAAACCAGAACATCCCATGCAATTCTCAAGGCAAAATCATTTATCCATCCTACCAGGGAGAAGACCGTGAAAATAACATGTCCTAGAATACAGCTCCCAAAACATCTCTCCAGAAGTTGTTCTCAAAAGTTATAGCTATGAAAACATTACTGAGGAAAAATATTCTTTAATTTTCATAAACTGTCCTTAAAATTTATGAGAAATCTACACCAGAGGAAGACACAAGGAAATAGATGAGTTAATTAAATAATGAATGCAAAAAAGGCAAGACATTGATAGACCAATAGGAAATTAGAAACAGATGCTGATTTTGAAAGCTGTAAATGTACCTATGACTTGGATTGACAGGAGATCTTGGAATATGTTTGCTACACGTTGCTTTGGAGTTTTATCTTTTTGAATTCCTATAGTCATATATGGTCATGTATGGAGTGTGGTATAGTCAAAATAAAATTTGCCTCAATAAGGGACTTTGGTGGAGAGCCTGACTATTTTACAAATTCAAGTTTCCTGCAATGGCTATCAGGACAGGAGTCTCTGACACAAAGCAGCACAACAGGGAGTGACTATCTGGATCCAAAGAGTGAGTTTTTGCAGATCTCTCTCTCCTTGCCTAAATTGTTCCATTTGAAAAATGGAAACCATCATAGATACATGGTGCAGTGGAATGAACACTGCCCTGGAGTTTAGAAGTCTCAGGATCTGGTTCCGGCTCTTACACTGATTAACTATGTCACCTCTTTCAGCCTTAGCATACTTGTCCACAAAATAGAGTCGTCCAAAAGAGGTTACAACTAGAAAGAATGTTAGTGATTAGGGCGCATCAACTTTTTAAATGGGTATACATCCCTGTCCCCAAGGGGATTTCATGGAGTGACAGTTTTTAAAGTTTTAATTGTAAAAACTGAGTATAATAGTTATGCTTTTTCAAAACATAATTTATTCCTCATTCCAGTATCTGTCTCTACTCACAACCTCAAGTCCCACCTCAGGCAGTTAAGAACCACTGATCTAGGCCAGTCACATCCTTCTGGCCACTCTCATGGGGTGACTAGAGTTGCCCTCTGCTCCATCCTTAAGCTTTTGCTAACTTCAACTTCCTAAAGATGATTTCCATGCATCTCACCTTCTCTACCCCTGCCCTTATCAAATAAGTATAAACCTCATTAGTCAGGATTTCTCAGTAGGGTTTCAACTACCCTTCTAGCCTTTCTTCAGTCCTTATCCATGAGTATCCTGGGATGTGGCCTAGTTTATTCCATGTTCCCTGAAGGTAACTCACTTTGTCACTACCCGGAGCCCCTTCCACCCCACCTGTCTGTGAAAGCTCAGCCCGTCTTCCAAGACCCCTCTAAACCACTTTCTCTAACCTCTAAAAGAGATATGCTGCTTCTTTTCTTTGAAGCTCCACGGGATTTTGTTTATACTTAACTATGTGTTTGTCATAGTTAAGGTTCTTGAGATAACAGTAGTGTCTTCAGGATGGCTGTTGTAATTATTCAGCTTTATATGACCCAAATATTCTAACACAACAGTGTTTCCAACCTTTTGATCATGACCCACACCAATATACATACTTACATTATGACCTAATATACCCATGTGTGTAGGCAATATTTATAATTGAGCCAAAGCTTTCATAATGTAATACATATTCTTATTGCATTTGATGCATGCACTGTAATGTTTTCTTTCTTTTCTGCTCTATCTCATTTCTTTTAATGGTGGTCTGAATTGATTTCACAATCTTTAGTCACAACAGTTAAGCAACACCATAATATAGCACATTGCCCAC